GGAGGCTGAGGCAGGAGAATCGCTTGAAACTGGGAGGCGGAGCTTGCAGTGAGCCGAGATCCGGCCACTGCACTCCAGCCTGGGCAACACAGCAAGACTCTGTCTGAATATATATATGTGTGTGTGTGTGTGTGTGTGTGTATATATATTTTTATTTATATGTTGAAATATACATATACATATATAAATATACATATATGTGTGTATAAAGTATGCGTATATTGAAATATGCATATATATGTATATATGTGTATTTATATTATATATGTAATGTAAATATGTATACATATATACATTATGTGTATATGTATATTTGTATATCTATATATTTATATGTATATTTATACACACATAGAGAGATATATACATATAATCATTTTTTTCAGGGACGGGAGTTTCATTATCATGCCCAGGTTGGTCTTGAACTCCTGGGCTCAAGCGATTCTCCCGCCTTAGCCTCCCAAAAAGTGCTGGGATTCTAGGTGTGAGCCACCACACCCGGCCTATTTCATTTTAAACTTTCCAACAACCATGTCTGGGTTTGGGTTCTGTCTGCTAGATAGGGAGCTGAGGCTCAGAGAGGTTAAGGTGCTTGCCCCAGGCCACACAGCGGGGAAGTGGCAGGGCTGCGTTTGAACTCTGGTGTTCTGCACTCCTGACTCATCAGTTTATTGCCGGGAAGCAGAGTCATGGGGAAAGCTGTCTCCCGGGGACCCGTGCCAGTTCCCTGCGTGCCTGCCATCTGGACTTGGGATTCTGATCAGCATTCCCAGTGGGAAGGTGTTTTGAGTCCAAAAAGCTCCTGTGAGCTGCATGAGGCCACAGGGGCTTTTGGGGCCCTCTGCCCGGGGGCAGTTATGGGTCTTGACACCAGATGTAAGCTCATCAGTGGGACAGTACCCTTCTGTGGCCAGGGGCCACGGAGCTGGGAGCAGGCCCAGGCTGCACTGAGAACCTGGCAGCTGTGGCTGACCTCAGAATAGGGCCGGCCTTGGCCGAGCTCAGTGGCTCACGTCTGTAATCCCAACACTTTGGGAGGCCGGGGCGGCTGTATCACCTGAAGTCAGGCGTTCAAGACCAGCCTGGTCAACATGGTGAAACCCCGTCTCTACTAAAAATACAAAAATTAGCTGGGTGTGGTGGCGGGTGCCTGTAATTCCAGCTACTTAGGAGGCTGAGGCAGGAGAATCGCTTGAAACTGGGAGGCGGAAGTTGCAATGAGCCGAGATCTTGTCACTGCACTCCAGCCTGGGCAACAGAGTGACACTCTGTCTCAAAAAAAAAAAATAAATAAAACGGGAGTAGTGGTGCGCGCCTGTAATCCCAGCTACTCAGGAGGCTGAGGTGGGAGAATCGCATGAACCTGGGACGTGGAAGTTGCAGTGAGCTGAGATTGTGAGATTGCTCCACTGCACTCCAGCCTCAGTGACAGAGCAACACCCTGTCTCAGAGCAAAACAAAACAAAAGGAAAGAACAGGGCGGGACTGGCTGCTAAAGGGCGTGTCCCTCTCCTAGGTGCTGGGCTGGGCATGGCCTCCCTCCGTCTCAGCCCTGCTGCAGCAGGGGATCGGCAGATGGTTTGGGGACCCTTGTACTTATGAGCCCTATCCCCAAGTCCGAAGCATTTGAGAGACAATGGGACAGAGGCATGAGTGGTTAAGAGGAAAGGCTCCACCTCCATGCTTTTGTGGCTCCTGCCTGGCCCCGGAAGGCATTTGGGTCTGAGAGCCCTGCCTGCAGCTGGCTGTGACACCGGGCAGTACTGCATCCTGGCTGGCAACTGGACCAGAGCCTCTTCTGCACTAACACTCAGCACCTGTGTGCCACCATGTTCCCAGGTGGCCCTCCAGCCGCAGGGTGACCCTCAAAGGAAGGAGGAGGTAAAAAACAGCAACTGTTGTTGGTTGACCAGGAGCCCCCAGAGCCCTCCACTGAGGTCACCTCCTCCCGGCAGCCGTGTGAGGGAGGCACCATCATGTCCATTTTACAGTTGAGCAAGGCTGAGGGGTAGGCTGCTGAAAGCCTTGAGCAACTGGTGACGGGGGGATTGAACGCAGGTCTTTCTGACCCCCAGATACATATGTCAGCCTCCATCCCCACTCAGGATGCCAGGCACAGGGCTCATTTGCTTTTTTTTTTTTTTGAGACAGAGTATCACTGTCATCCAGGCTGGAGTACAGTGGTGCGATCTCGGCTCACTGCAACCTCAGCCCCCACGGGTTCAAGCAGTTCTCCTGCCTCAGCCTCCCGAGTAGCTGGGACTACAGGAACCTGTCACCACACCCGGCTAATTTTTGTGTTTTTAGTGGAGACAGGGTTTCACCATGTTGGCTGGGCAGGTCTCGAACTCCTGACCTCAAGTAATCCACCTGCCTCGGCCTCCCAAAGTGCTGGGATTACAGGCATGAGCCACTGCGCCCAATCTTCATTTGCTTCTTAAAGTCAGTACACGGCATCTTGCCAGTTCTTCCAACAGGGAGACCCAAGCGTCACCTGCAGAGGTTACACCCCCTGCCAAAGGCCGCAGTTAAGGGCAGCAGAACTGGCGAGGGGGAAGTCAGCCCGAGCAGCCCACAGGAGGCCGGGCAGTGCAGTGGTTCCCATCCTTCACGCCTCCCTGTGCCTCCCTCCCCCTGGGTTCCAGGTTCTGCCCTTGGATGCCGAACTCAAGAGGTGTCGGAGTTAGCAGTGGGGCAAGGCAGGTGAGAAACAAGCCCTGGACAGGGATGGATGTGCCATGATTTGAACTTGGCTTCCTCCTAGCTATGTGACTTTTGAGGGGAGTCTCTACGGCTCCATCTGTGAAATGGGAGGACGGCTGGCCCTAAAAGGCGGGGCCTCTGAGGAGTTCAACCTGATCCTGTGGGCAGCGCGTGGCCAGGCATCTGGCATGCTATAAGCACTCAGGAAATGGCTCTGGCTCCCTTCACTGCCCAGGGCCCTTTAACACAGTTCCAGGAAAGATGAAAATACTCCTGGCCCTGCCTCCCTTCCAGCGTCCAGAGCTTTGGGCTGCTGAGGATGAAGGAAACAGGATCTTACACTTGCCTCTTGGGTGTGCCCTCTGGGCTTGCGGCAGGCTGGGAAGGGACCCCAGGACCCTCCTGGCTGGCGGGAACTGAGCTGACAGGGCCCTGGGGCCACGCTTCCTGCCAGGTGAGGTCACTCTGGTAGGAGGAGTGGAGGCAGGCAGGATGAGAAGCCGTTTGGGGCCTTCCCACCTAGCAGGTGGCCAGCCTTAGTGCTCCGAGGCCCAGGGACTCGGGCAGCAGGGAACCTTGCCCACCGTGAGAGAGAAAAGGCTACTGCCTGCCTTGAACAGGGCGAAGACCATCTTCCTCCAGTCCCTGCCCTCCCCAAACTCCTTCTGCCAGAGTTAGACGGGAGGAGGTTCCTCACACCACCGGGTCCAAATCTGGCGCAGCTCGGGTACTCAAGTCACTGTAGCCGACGACCCTTCATCTGCCTGGTGTCAGACCCTCACCCACATGAACCCTGGCGCTGTGTCTTAACTCATGAACATATTACCAACCTTCTTCTGGGCCTCAGTTTGCCTGTCACCTGGGGATAACGAGAACACCCAATTCATCAAATTGCTACAAAGATCCAATGAGATCAGGCCGGGTGCGGTGGCTCACACCTATAATCCCAGCACTTTGGGAGGCCGAGGCAGGTGGATCACTTGAGGTCAGGAGTTTG